GACCCCCGCCCCGCGGGGACCTCCCGGGGGGGGCCGCGGCCGCACTCTGCCCCCTCCGCGCCTCAGGCCGGGCCCAGGCCGCGGGCTTCCCTGGCGGCGGTGCTGGGCGAAGGCCGAGCTCGCTGCTCCCCCGGCCCAAGGCCTTGGCCGCCTGGCCAGCGAGGCCAGGGTACCTCAAGCTGCCGTTTGTTTCTGGAAGTGACAGCGGAAGCAGCTGTCGGTGTCCAGTTTTAGGACTCGAAACCCTCTGCTGAGGTTCTCCTTACTTACAAGGAAATGACCCTGGGTGAGGCATTAACGTGCAGCAGGCTTGAGCCTGGCTGCCCGGTAATGCCTGTGCTGTTGCCATTGTGATTTGGCAGCAAATTTTTCTGTGGTGTTAGGCTTCCTATGCGCTCGCGCATTTTTGTTTCAAAACAGCAGGCCGGTTTGCTGGACTCGCTGAGGGTGTGTGCCTGATAAGGAAAACAACACTTATCTGTGTTGTGCAACTGAAATACAGATTTAGCCTTGTAGATGAGCTCATCATTCTTTTAAACGAACTTTGCGATCATTTTTGTCACTTTCTTAGAGCATTGATCGTCCAAATAATCTTAATTTTCCAGTAATTGCGTACTTACTCTGTCGGTTTCAACTGTATTAGTGTAATTTGCAGTATTTTTTGTATTATCTTGGATTTCTGGTCTCGGGCATCATAAGGGGGTTAGTATTTTTAAGCAGATGTTTTTGTTCATGTTTTCTTGTTTGTCTTAACTAAAACCAACAGTTGCCAAATACATACAAGCTCAGTGTGTTTGGCTGTTGCAATGTACTACTAAACAGGCTCTTAGCAAGGGACTGAAATACAAATTAATACGCAAATGCTTTGCAAAAATTACTCTTTTTTATTATATCTGAGTATTTTCAGGAACCCCCTGACTTCTGGAGGATTACTGTAATGCTAGTAAAATAGAATGAAAATAAAACCTACACTTCCTTCTAGTGTATGCAAAACTATTGGCAATCTCTTTCTTTTTTTGTGTGTGGGGTTGGGTTTTTTGTGTTGTTTTGGGTTGGGTTTTTTTTACTGGGAATTCAGTGTTCAATTCAGTGTTCTCATTAAGCCATTGCTGTACATAAACAGTGTGAGGCCCTGGCTGGGATGTTTTGGGGTAACTAGCATACAGTGAAACACAGACTGGTATTTTTAGTCTTATTAACATTCAACGCTGTATCTTATGGAAACTGTTGAATGCCATGTGTATGCTTGTTAGTAGAATTTGTGTTTTCTTGCATTCAGTTTTGTTAGCCATATGGACTTCTAAATTCTCCTTTAGAGAAACTGATGGGGGAAGAGGAGGGAATGCTGAAGATGTAGTGTAATACTCTTGCAAAAGTTACGTGGTGGTGTTGAATACTGTGAAAGAACTGGACTGTGGCCCGAGAGGTGCCTCTCAATCTGCAAGAGCTGTTTTAGTTCTCAGGACTGTTTTTCTGCTCAGTGTTAAGTTCTGTGATGCTACGTGTCCAGAAATTCTTGCCATACTACTGAATTTCCAGATGTAGTTGATGTTTCATGTAGAAACTTCATTTTCATAATGCTTTTAAGGGCTTCTCACGCATATTTACTGTAGGTCAGTCTTTCTTTGGATAGGCTGTTCTTGCAGTGGAAGGCCATCCATCCTTGTGGGAAGGACTGCATGACAGACCTGTTTTGTGGCCATGCAGCGTGTCTCACAAATACCAAACTTACAGCAAATGCCCAGGTTGTGTAGAGAGGCGATGACCAACCAGCCAACCTCCTGGGAACATTAGACTTTACTAGTTGTCCTGAAAACAATGGACTTGGCTAGCTCTCCTGTACTTGCGTAGTAAGTCTTCTGCTTCTGTGAGAGCTGCACAACTGGATTGTGCGTGGGCCATGAGGGACTGTGAGAAAGCTAGTAGCGGAAAGTGGGCTGCTGCGTGATATAACCACGCTCCTGAAGCCTGCTCTGTCAGTATGCCCAAATCCTCCCTGGCGTCTGCTCTGGGGGTGGGGTGCAAGCTGAATTGGATGGTCTAGTGGGCTGCATGCAGGTGGAGCATTGCTGTTGTAGTGCTGTTCTGCTGCTCCCTGAAACGTCATTTTTGTATCTCGATTCTTTTTGTGGTGGACCTTCTAATAGCATATGGCAATAGTGTTTGCTTCCTTTATGCTGCCATGTTACATGGAGTAATAGCTTCTGATGGGGGTAATTTTATTTCTTTTTAAGTACGTAGGCATGTACAGTTAGCTGAAAACCGAAACGAACGGCCACCTGTGAAAATAGGCTTGAATAAAGAGGGATGACTTGTTGTTCTTGGCATTCTCAAATCCAAAGCAGCTCACAAGCACATACACCAGAAGACAGTAGCACAGCTTGGGTAATACTTCGATTTCCCTTTCTTGGAACCTGTCTTAAGTTCCAGAAATAAAGGTTGAGTCTTAAACTTAAAGAAAAAACCAAACACACACACCCACCCCCCAAACAACAAACCCCCCTAAATTTTACTGTACCCATGGAAATAGAGAGTAAGTTTCTGTTAACTGTAAAGGAAACTTTAATTATTCTGACTATTAAAAACACTTTTCAAAAGCAGACCTTGAACCTTTTTGTAGAAGAAACCTTAGAATGGCCTTATAATCCTGGTGCGTATTTTAAGAATGATACTAAAACCAGAGACTTTACATAGTAAAGAGCTTGAACAGATGTCTGTTGTATATGAATTATGGGAGTTTAGGCCTTATGGACAGAGCGCATGACTGCTTTATGCTCACGGTTATGGCTTCTGACTCAGCTAGCAACAGTTGTTTTCTCACATTTGTAGACTAAATGTCGTCTTTTTATTTGTAGATATGGCTCGTGGACAGCAGAAGATTCAGTCGCAGCAGAAAAATGCCAAAAAGCAAGCTGAACAAAAAAAGAAACAAGGACACGATCAGAAGGCTGCAGCCAAGGCTGCCTTGATATATACCTGCACTGTCTGTAGGGTAAGACAAAATGTTATTGTAGGCGGGTCTGTCTTCCAGCTTAGAGCAGAATTTTTAGAAGATTATATAGTAGAAACTGAAATGTGTAAGTGGCTGTCTAGCTTGTTGCTATAAGCATCTGCATGTTATGCGACTTGCTTACCGATCACTCAGCTGTATTGATAATTGAGATATAAGAAAATCTGAGAGGTCACGTACAGATCTGTTTTGGGTAGTTATCTTGCCTTTTGAATTGCAGGGCTCTGCATGTGCTGTTAGTATGGTGTATAAACTGTAAAAAGTGTGAGATCACTTCCTGTTTAATTTCCAAATGGAAACATCTTTTCTTTGTGATGGAATTCGCCCGTCTTAGAATCGCTGGTTATTGATATTAATGTAGAGAGGAAAAGTAGTTGTGCCAACAGCCTTAGTGTAAGTTTGATACACAGTAACTTCTACTAGAATAAATGACTTGACAAGAGAACAGAAATGTGAGTGCTAATCAGATTATACTTTCCTTCTGGCTGGTTTTCCTGAACGTGCTTGTTTTGGAGCTGAAGGATAAACTTGCCATTTTCACTTAAATGCTCAGTCCCAGAATAGATTTGTCACTTTGGATGTCTTAAATAAGATTCCAAATTAAGGGCTGCTCGCTTAAGTACTTGTAACCAGCTCCTCTTCTTGTGAAATCGGGCTGTAGCAGCAATCACTTTAGGCAGTTGATACCTGCAAATGTGTAGTAGCAATGGTCTGAGATAGCTTGTGCCAAGTAGAGAATCAGTCTATGCCACAACTCTTTGGCATATTGATAGACAAAAGAAATACGTTTTGTAAAGATTTGATTCTGAAAAGGATGAATGTTTATCCTTTAGTTGTTGAAAATATTGAGGAGGTTGGTTTTCCACCAAACCAGCACATGAATTGTAAGGTCTCCAGGGAGATTTCTAACAAGAATAATACCATCATCAACATGCCAAAACAGTGTAATACTAGTGCTTAAAAGCACCTCTCTGAAAAATCTGAGGTTAAATATTCTCTCTTAATCTGCAGCTAAATTAATGGTGCTTCTGTCACTAGAGCAGTGTCATTGAGGAGACAATTTGCTTCTGGAAAAAGAAAATAAAACATCGGGAGGGGAACAGGTTTGGTAGTATCATTTAACTCTTGTACTGTGCATAAAGTTAAATGTCTCTCTTTAATCAGACACAAATGCCGGATCCCAAGACCTTCAAACAGCACTTTGAAAGCAAGCATCCTAAGACTCCACTTCCTCCAGAATTGGCTGATGTTCAGGCGTAAAGTTGTCTACAGGTCATTACCTTAACTTTTAAATGATTGTGTGTGAAAGGTATATTATGAATTAGTTTTTTACAACCAACAGCTGAGATTTAAAACTTCCTTCATTTCCTTTAATGTGAAAATTAACTATAGGTTAAATTTATACCCCTGAACTGTTACACAGGCGAAGCAAGCTAATACTTAAGTAGGTGAAATGCCTGTGGCATTTCACTGTGCATGGAGGTTGTTTTAAGAGGGATTAACGTTACTTCAAATGGTCATCCTTAGACTTGTAGGAATACTTTATTATTTAGTTCTTGCTTTGAAATATTGGTTTGGCTTTGAACAAAATACATATGAAATGCAGTCTGTCTGTTGCTACAAAACATGTGATGGAAATAGTTGTTTAGTATATTTCCAACAATTGAGCCTTTTTGTTCCTGAAGCTATGCAAGTGAATGCAGATTATTCTCCATTCAAATATAAAACTTAAATTTTGTGTTAACTGTAGAAGAAATTTCCCAATAGCCAGTTGTTAGGCTGTAACTGAAAGTGGTTATAATCAAAGGCTGAAATGAGGTAAAAAGCAGTATTACAGTATTTCATTCACATAAATGTAAACAGCATTGTGTAACAGTTCAGCTTAACTGAGTTGTTCTTGTTTTTTATAGGTGAAATCATGGCACCTATTGACTCTTCTACTGTCAGACCTTACATAACAAACCTGCAGCTGCTTTTCTAAAACTGTTGATCAGCAAAAATGAAGGGGCTACAGAAACATTCATATTTTTATGCTGTTCCCTCTTGGGCTTCATGCAAAGACAATTCTGTGTAAATGTACAGTTGTGCCCTATTTGGAAATCCTGAAAAATCAGTCCATACTTGTTATAAAAAAATTTTTTACAATTGTAATTATATTGATGTTCATATTGTGTAAAATAACTCATTTAATAAAGTAGTACTTTGATTTTACAATATCACAGATTAAATCCTTGTAGAAGTTCTGTTTCAACTTTCTGCATTATCTGCCTTATAAAATAAAAAAAGACAAAGTGGAATTTTTCCCCATCCTGCCAAAACACGAGCAGTGTCATTCCACTGAAAGTAATGTACATTACAGTAAATTAATCTTAAGTGAAGAGGGAAGCTGCTCAGATTTACTGTTCAGTGTGCTGCCTGCTTGAGCCCAGTTACTAGTGGTCAAGTTGTTGGCTCAGGGCGCAGCAGACTCCTTAGAAGCTGCATGAGAATCATGAGACTTCCTTCTACATTTTTGTCCTGTGTATTGGAGTCTAATACTGCAAGCCATTTTGAATGGGATTCCTTTACTATGACGCATCATGTTCCTTGAAGTCATGCACTGGAGAGACTCCTGTTATGCTTCATATTGGGTAGATAGCTGAGGAAGCTGAGAGGCGGCAGGATTGAATGCTTCTGGGTATGCTGGCTTGAAAAATGCTCACAAATATTAGGTTAAAGCAGCTCTGCTCTTAGTTGAAAAACTGATTTAAAAGATTTTTAATGATATTTTGAGCGGTCAGCCACACGTGTTCCCCCACAAATGCATCTGGGCATTTCAGTAGCAACTCTTCAAGAAATATGTAAAATAGCCAGCCATTAATAACCTTCCTTCACAACCAGCGTAAAATAACCCTGTTGGAAAAGAGCCAAAGTAACTAAAATAGTATGGCTACTTTAAGAAATCGGATGTGATTAAAGTTGCATTGACAAGAAAAAGCTGGATAATAACTCTCTGGCCAAGAACATTAGAGCAGCTAAACATAATTACCCTTAAAGTGTTCTGGGCTCAGTTTTAATCCCAGATGTACAACACAGAAGTAGTGGAGAAACATCTGAATTGTGCTAGAAGGTCTGCTATACAAAATCCCATCTTTGGCATTTGGAGGGAGCTAATTTAAGAGCTTTAGTTTTGACCTTGCAGTAAGAAACAATACTAGAATTGCTGTGATTTACTGAGGTTACAACGGATGTAACAAATTCTGGCCGTCCAAGTAACCTTTGCTATGCAGCAGGACTGTACATCTGACCTTCAAATGGCTACCTAAAATCTAGGACCATAGTCTCAAAGACTCATTCACTTAAAAGAATGCACTTGGTATTTTATTATATAAAGTCAAAGCCTTTGTCTTCGTCTGCTCATTTGCTCTTTATTGAACTACTTCTGTGAGACTAGCTTCCTGTCCTCTTTGCTGTGACAGTATCTCTGTAAATACTTACTTTGGCATAAAGTTTCTCTGTATTATAGTCACTCCAGGATAACCTGTATACCACTTAACTTTTATAGGTAATGTTGTTCTCCTCTGAGAGTAATCCACTACTGCACTTGTACACCTGACATCAGAATGTAACGCTTCATTTATTTTTCGTTGATGTTATCAATACGTTTATCCTGACAAACTGGCTCCCACAAGGCAAGACATCGGCTCTCGACCATTGTGCTGTATGGGGGAGAGGTACTGAAATGTTCTGATGCTGTAGTTTGTCAAAAAATACTCTGAGTGCAAATGGATAAATATGTTTCTTGCACTGATTGGTATTTGGAAATCTGGTTTTACTTTGGAAAATGTTCTGGGATGTATCCCTATAGCTTGGTCCTGAGGTGAAATATATGTTCTATTCCTTTAATTCAGATTGTGTAGCATTAAATAAAAGATTCTGTTTCATAAACAATCTCTCTTAATGAGCACTGAAGAGCTGGAAAGCTGCATCGCTAGTGGGATGGTTAACTTCAGTTAGAATTGTATTTTCAAAATTTTATGATGCTCAAGTTGAAAATACCCTATGAAGTGATGGCTTTTTATGTAATAGAAGGCAAGGGTGATCCTCAGTTCCATAAGATCCCTAGCTGCAGTAGCTGCAATCTCAATTAGAAAAATAAATGAAAGCTATGACTGAATTGTTATAAAGGCTTTGTTAAGTATAGGGGGAATGCTATACTAAATGGGGGAATCGTCCTCATTTAGAATACCTGCAATATTCCTTGTACCTAAAAGGCCAGAGGAAGGACTAGGAGTTCTCCATCACCTCTTCCTGATCTGAAGGATGGCACCCTGTTACCTGGCTAAAGACACAGTTGTGCATTGTAATGTGTCTGATTAAAGAGAATTAAAAAAACAAAATGTAAAATGTCATATTTCCTGCCTGCTTTTAAAACCAAATATTATTGCACTTACAAAATTCATTTCCTAGCTGTTGGACAGTCCTGGAGCTTGAAGCTGTCAAAACTTTACAAGAAAAATAGGCATGGAAAGTTTCCCATGTTCCCTTGAGAAAGTTTTGTCTTTGTGCTGGGGCAGCTTTTTAGGTAAAGGGTTCTTATGTTGTCAGTATGGGCATCAGCTGTCATGGGTACTTGTGGAGCAACTTTAAAAAGTTATTTTGGATTTTGGGAAGCCCACAACTCTTCTGGGGGTCTCTTTAAATGGTATCTGAAATAGTATTTAAAGCAGAGCTTAAAATGTTTTGAAAAGCCTTGCTCTAGATCCCAGAGTAAAAGTTATCACGTGTGATTATGATGAGGCCATCTCGGGGACTGCTGAGTAATCAAGAACAGTTTTGCAGTTTGTGTTACTCAGACTTACTTAGGCTGGTTTCTGTACCTCTACCGAACCTCTCGCTAAGGGTTTCTGGTTTCTTGCTATCAAAAAGCTGTGTGAAAAATCTGAAATAGAAGTTGAAGACAGTTGCTATGTAGCCTTAAGGAAATAGCTGGCTTTCTGCAGTGCTCTTGAAACGCCCCTGGAGACTATCCCTTTTGGTTATTTGCTGTTGAGCTGAAAACACTTCAGCGCAAGTAAAGCTAATAATGACCACGGGCTGTTTGCAAGCCACATAGTAATGAAGGAATTTGTAGCATTTCTGTAAACTGTATTGAACTGTTTTCCCATCTTGATAAGAAGAGCTAATAGATGGAGTTTCTTTTATCATTAAATACTGATAGGCTTGAGGTCTGTTTTGTTTCCCGTTTTCTCAGAAACAAGTTGGGGAGTATTTGGCTTTACTAAAAGCGTGTCTTCTCAACTTGGTTAGTCCTGCAGAATCCATAAACAAAGTAATGGTCAGCTTGTACTTCTGTCTGCTCAGCCCCATTGTGATGCGTGTAATTTGGGGGCCTTTGATTTACCTATTTAGAACCTTGCAGGTTTGCAGTGGACTTTGAATTCAGTCCCAAAACTCAGCTTTGGACTGGCATTCGGTATGTGATTTTCCATATTCTGTAGCATTGCCAATGATGTTGCACTAGTCCACACAGTGGGAGGGTGTAAAGTTCTGTCTGTGGAATTTTGCTGTCTGTTTTGAAAATTATTTGGATTTTTTAAAATGCATTGTCTTTTGTGTTACAGTTTTTATATAGATAAGGCACAGTAGAGACTCACTGAGGGAGTTACCTTGATAGCTTTCAAAAAAAGGTGGAATAGGTTGGGTGTATGTTTTACAGTTCTCTTATATGGCTTTTAGCATTGGAGTTGCAGGGACAGGAGGAACCTGTAGTTGTCCCAACACTGTTCTCTAACAAGAATCTGTTCAAGCAGTGTTTTAAGTTTTCAGGAAATATGGCACAGCTTTCCTCTGAAAAATACTGTCCATTAAATATATCAAGTTAAAGTCCATATAGCACTTTGATGGCATGGCAAACATATTTGTGTGTTCCCTGTTTTTAGCTATTACAAAATCACAAGCAGTGCGCACAAAACATCACTAAATACTGGAGAACTTTGAGTGAAGCAAGGACTAAGGGAAATCTGAGAAAGTCCTCTGGTTCATTTCCGTGCCTTGAGATTGGATCAAATCTGCCAAGACTGTAACAAACAAGTGTTTTTCTAACTTGGTCTTGAAAGATTCCAACAAAAGGGGTCCCATGACCTTGTAAGCAGCGCGTACCACTGTTGAACCGTGCAGCTGGAGAGTTATCACAGCAAGAGTTTATCCCTGCAAATTAAGTCAAGTACTTATTGTTCTTATTGGCAATAGATGTGGTGAATAGTGCCCTCATTGGAACATTACTGTCACGTTCTCCTTGTAGTCTTCTCTCTTAAATAAACTCAGTTAATTGAATCACTCTTCATAGGTCACGTCTTCTAAGTCTAGCGATTGTTGGTGCTCTTCTCTGGATCCTCTCCAGTTTGACTGTGCTCTTAAATCGTATGATCCAAAGTGTGGCCCAAAGCGCTGCCTGAGGCTAGCGCAGAGCAGCTGGAACAATTAACTCCTGGCACTTCCATACATTAGTACTGTTAACGCACACTGGAATGATACTTGCCTTTTTGCAACAGCATCACATTGACTTGCATTCACTTCTTGGTCTGTGATATGCCAGATCCATTTTGGTACCACTAATAATCTCCATTTTGTGCCGATGTATTTAGTCTCTGCCTACGTGTCTCTAATGGATCTCAGATAAAATCTATCAAGATACCACCAATCTAGTCCCATCTCCTATGCTGTTACAGTTCATCCAAGTATGATATCATGGGGAAGTCTTCCAGATGTCCTCTTTATAGTCTGAGTTGTTCATGAGCACACTTGAGCGGGATAGATCCTGGGCAAAGCTTTTCAGGACCCTGCTTGAGTATTTTCCCAGGTTCCTGGTGAGCCTTTGGTAATTACTCTTTGAGAGCATTTTGTACTGCTTTGATTCTCCTTGTGGTCAGTATGGATTGGAGTCCCCTGTTACACCTGCGAGGAGTGTACACAGGGAGATTTGGGGTCCTGTGCGCCTGTGGCCACCAGGACAGTTTTCACGAAGAAGCAAATGGATGGTAGTGAGGTGCAGCATACTTTGTTCCTGACAAATCCAGATTGGCTGGCTGTTGTTGGGTTACTTTTCCATATGCATTTACAAATAGGATTTTATAAAAGTTACTCTAGCCTTTTTTCCAGGTTTAAGTAGACTGACAGAGTCCCCTGATTCTTTTTAAATTCCTTGTGCTTGTCTCACTGCTGTCTCAGACTCTTCTGTGCTCCGTGA